GCGAGTGAGTCCCCGATCCACGTGCTTCCTCGCGCTGAGCTCCGCAGCACCACGCCACCGTCCACACGTGCCCTTAGTCCCGCGCCGGACCCACAGCTTCCCCGAGCTGCCCCCGCTCTTCCTTCCCCGTTCTTCCCCTTGGTCAAGGCTGAAGCTCTGCCTCCCCTCCTCTACTGGCCTCGCGCGAGCTACCGCCATGGCGGTCGAGCCGCCGTCGCCCAGCCACAGAACGCGCTCACGCCAGCGCCGCTCCACCACCGTGGCCAGGCGTGCCCGTGCCGTGGTCTCTCCCGTGCGTGAGCTCATCGGCCACGCGGGTCCGTCTACACCGCCTCGGCCGCTGCCCCGTCCGCGCCCACAGTCCACGCCGCTCCCTTCCCGTGTCTCGCGCGCCTGGTTCGCCGGTGCCTGGGAGTCCGGCCTCGCCAGCCGCAGCCGTAGCGTCAAGCCGTGGGGCCATTTTGCCCTCACCGGCCATCGCGACCGCAGCGACTCCATTGCCGACCGGAGCTCCTCAGCTCCCCTGCTCCGAGCGCTCCGTTCTTGGAATGAGAGAGCAAGGTGAGGAGGGTATATATCCAAGCAAAAGAATTGTACAGGGGTGTTTTTGCGAAATACATGACCCATTTGAACTGTACTATGGACCTAGGGTCAAATTGAGAAATGCATAGGGGTCGTTTCGCTTATTTGCCGTCGCCACCTGCCGATTGGGCCACCCGCCTGGTGCCGCGCGCCCGACTTGGGCCGCTCGCGCCCCGCCTGTGCTGGGCCGGTCGCCGCAGTCCGTGCACTGGGCCGCGAGCGCGATTGGGTCGCGAGCGCTGCGCTCCACCTACGCCTGGTCGCTGGGCCGCGCGTGCCCCGCTGGCTTCCGCTGGGCCGCTCACGCCAGTGCGCGCCTGTGGGCCGAGCTAGGCCGCTCGGCCTATTTCTGTATGTATGTTTTCGGTTATTTGGTTAAATCAGTGCTCTTCAAAAATGAGAAATAAAGTGTAGAAAAATCATAAAAATGTTAAACCAGTTTTGTTAGTCTTCTAAAATCATGATCTACCTGTTAGTATAGTTTGTTCACATAGGGTGATAATGTTCTTGGAAGCTATATAATTAACTTAAGGTATTTAATATTGTGAAAATGTAACTTTTAGGAATTGTTGTGATACATTGGTAATAGTGTTGGATCTGAAATCTTTACACTAGGTTCCTAGCAATATTAGCTGCTCACCGTAATTTTTGTAGCTCTAGAATAATTAGTTGCTAGATAAATAATAATGTCCTATCGTGAATAAAGGAACATCGTTGGTTTATATAACTAAAATAGTTGTTGGGAAAAAGCGCCTTATCCGACAACGTGTATATGTAGCCTACTTACGGTCATCGTTAGAACTAGCCGTTAACTCGAGAGGCGTACGCCATATTTTACGAGTCACGATTGCAGTTGATTAATTACATCTTTGCATTGCATCGCATGCATATCATATACGTACGATGATGGATCGATGGATCGATTGAAGGATGATTGGAAATCCGAAGGTGATGCAATGGACTTTCTATCCAGATGATGTGGATGATCTGAGGATGCAGATACTAACTTTTAAATATATCTTACCCAGGCAAACCCCGGTGCATAACCCCTACTTTTCTGCAGTTTAAATTATATTTGTGCATTAAGTTTTAAGGAGTGGAATGAAACCCACTTGCATATATATCTTTATCCTATGAGTCTTACTAGTATGACAGGATCGTGTAGAAGGCTATGCTACAGGACTCCGGTAGAAGTCGAGTGATTGCCTGTCACTCGCGAGATATAGGAAATATGTTACTATATGATTATCACTTGGAATATATAAAAATGGTGGAAATGAAAAATGGTGACCGGGCAAGGATATGGTTTGGGTATTGGTGGGTGTAAGAAGTTGTGTCGCCATGGACTCGGAGCATAGCTTGGTTACACTGCTTTCCCTGTCTAGTCGGTTAAGGATCGATCGTTGCATATTACTCTAGGCAGGTCATAGACTTATTATCCCGAGCACATACTTGTGTATGGGTGCTTGGAAGACTTGTTGCTCTCTTGTCGCGGATCCGGCTCTTTCCGGACCGACTATCAGGGTTTCTTTTGGTGGAGGAGGTCCTTGCACCGCACTGAGTCCGGGACTCAGGGGCGGGGGCTTGGAGTCCCAGTTTGGACGGGAACCTGGACACTCGGGATAGGAGAGTGATGGGTTGGTCCTGCTTATGCCCGGGGTACAAGAGGGGCGTGTGTTTTTGGGGTACCCAGCTGGGGGCATTGATTCGCGAATCGCCGGGCGATCCGGTACGGCTTGTCTACGGTTTAGCATCGTACTAAGAACTGAAAGATAAAAGATGGAAGATAGACAAAGGAAGTCTGATTGCTTACCACCTGCTTGAAAGTAGAACATGTGCTTACATAGAATTGTTAGTTAATGAACCAGTGCGGCTATTAATAAAAATCGACTGTAAGGACACACGCTTAGTAATGCTTTCTGCAAATGCAATAAACCCACAAGCTAGATAGCCTTGCATATCCTTGGAGTCTTTTTCTTTCCTCCTGTCGGGTAAGTCTTGCTGAGTACAATTGAGTACTCAGGGTTTTATTCCCCCTGTTGCAGGTGATAGGTGGATGCTAGAGCTGACTCTTGTGTGTGGATATCTCCTGGTTGGCTCAGCGAGGATTCCTTTACGTTGCGATCATAGTCTTTATTTATAACTCTCACTAAATGCTTTTATAAACGAAAGTTTCATAATCTGTTGTCGTAGTTTATATTTCAATACTTCCTCATGTCATGTTTAGATATTTATTTTCGCTGTAACTCTATTCACATGTTTATATTCTGCTGTTTAATTGAATGATTCATAACTCTGATAATATGATTACATTCCGCTGTTGTAATAATAAATATTATACTCTGATATTGTATTAAAAGTGATGTAAGAAATGGTTAAATGATGTAAGCTTTATTCTCTCATTTGTGATCCTGATGGCGAAAATGTGGATTTTCGGGTTCTCCCTGGGGTATGCCCGACGGAACTGAGTAATTTAGTGTTCTCCCTTGAGTGCTTAGTGTCTAATGGAAGACAAGCACTCCTGCGAGGCATTAGATTAGGCGGTTCTGCCACAATGACTCAATGTCATGTCTCATGTGCAATGAGCTCCTTCATCATCACATGTGTGAGCTTTGCAACATCTCCGAGCCATTTCCACCTTCATGGCATATGTTGCTCACACACATGTAACTGTGGACTAATCACATGTGTATCTCACATAAACACAATTAGTCCACCTAGGTTGTCACTCAATTACTAAAACCTCACAAGGACCTTTCACATATCAATGTTGATAGCTTAATTCTAAACATAGAATATTTAATTATTTATTTCATATATAATAGCACTACTACACACATAATTATTTGATAGAGGTAATTAAATATCTTGACTGCTGTGATGTTGGCTGAATTAATTTTTTATATCAATATTGTAAGTAAAAGTGGAGTCTAGGATCTCTAATTATTTTTTTGTAAAATATAAAATGAATTTTTTGGATAAAATATAAAATCAAAGTTTGTATAAAAAATTACAAAATCTTATAAAATCAAAATTGTAAGCCGAAGATTTATGATATAAAAAACGTAAAAGAGTTGATATGACTTAAACTAAAGTTCAACCAAAATACATTCTGAAAACCCACGAAGTTCAACCAAAATACATTCTGAAAGCCCGCGAAGTATAATGTTCTGAAATGAATAGAGAGGGGGAGTAAATATAATCATTAATATGAAATAAATTTATCGACAAAGATTATAGATTAATTGTGTTGGAGCACAAGTTGATAGGTTATTAGTCAAGTAGTAAAGAAATTGAACACTTGCGTGTTTTGACATGTCCAATGTACAAAGTGAGGGCAGATTATCAATCAATTAATAATTAACATCTCGCAGGCTATCTTATTGGAACCACCATATGGCCCGATGCAGTTTTATAATACACAACACGGCGTTCACCGTATCATTGTAGTGTACTACTAGCTATTAAGCTATATATCGTGGTGTCGGTATGGCATCTCTCTTTTCCTCTACATGAAACTGAAACGGTTAGGTGTCTCCCTTCCAACACAAATGATCAGCAATTTGGTGCACAGAATCGTTACAATGCATCAGTACCAATAATGATGTCTGTGTTCTGATTGTGTAAACCTGATACCTTTCCTTCTGTATCTGGCTGTACGCGAATCTTCCGTTCCTAACACATCATCACAGAGGCCGGGTTGGCTGTGCATTTCTGGTCGATGAAGAACGTTAAAAATGTGTCTCGAGAATCAATCAGTGCGCAGGTAGCTAGAAAGACACTGTTGAAGTATAAAAAAAAGAAAGACACTGTTGAGCAATACACAGCATGGGGATATATAACTGCCAAGAAGCCGTTACTTTTTTAATGGTGCACGCATGACCCGAAGTCTCCGTTCCTCGCATGATTTGCTCCAGAGCCATGTGACCCCTGCCAAGGAGCGTCGGGTGCAACGACCTCTGATGGTGATCGCGGCCGGGGAACTGCGTTCTAACGATACTTTTCCTGCCTATAAATGCCCCTCGCAAAGGTGCTCTTCCCCGACCATCAAAACGCACAATCTCATCAGTACTAGCCAGTAGCCACCTTCTTTCTTAAGCTTGGAGTAGCTAGGACTGTCTTTGCTGCCCTAAGCCAAGATGGCAACGACCTTCTCTTCCAAGGCTCTTGCATTTGCAGCACTCTTCTCCCTCCTAGTCACGTATGGCTCCTGCGCTCGGCCTGTAAGTTTCAACGCCTCCGACTTCACCGCCGACCCTAACTGGGAGGCCGCCAGGGCCACCTGGTATGGGGCACCTACTGGCGCCGGTCCTGATGACGACGGTACGCACACGCTTGGTGTTAGTTATTACCGTTACCGGCCTTGTACTGTAAATAAACTTTGCGTGGGCGCACGGCATCCATTTGTGTGCATGCAGGTGGTGCCTGCGGGTTCAAGAACGTGAACCTGCCTCCGTTCTCAGCCATGACGTCCTGTGGCAACGAGCCACTGTTCAAGGACGGCAAGGGCTGCGGCTCATGCTACCAGGTACGACGAAGAAGGGAAAGCTCATGCACAGTTTTGGCTTTTGACTCACATCACGCGCACTCAGTAGTTTTACTGCCCTTTTTTTTGCAGATCCGATGCCAAAACCACGCCGCATGCTCCGGCAACCCGGAGACGGTGATCATCACCGACATGAACTACTATCCGGTCGCCAAGTACCACTTCGACCTCAGCGGCACGGCGTTCGGCGCCATGGCTAAGCCTGGCCGCAGCGATGAGCTCCGCCACGCCGGCATCATCGACATCCAGTTCAAGAGGTAGGCGGAGTAACATGCATTGCTCGCTGCACAGAGCCAAAGAGACAATGCAACAACCTGCAGTAGACCCTACTACCTGAACACAATCATATTTCGACCGTCTATTTAGTTGAGCAAAGTACAGGGGCTCCACAGCACCACGACAATGATCGATTATCCATTGGGCGGTCCCAAGTAGATTCGCACAGATCTTAGTACTATATATATACTTCGATTCGACGTACTTCACAACTTGGCTTGCGCATACTACACCTGTGTTCTACTCACTCACTATCTGAAGCTGAAGCTTAATCCGACATATCACATGGCTTTAATTCCTGCAGAGTGCCCTGCAATTACCCTGGGCAGAAGGTGACTTTCCACGTCGAGGAGGGGTCCAACTCCGTCTACCTCGCGGTGCTCGTCGAGTTTGAAGATGGCGACGGCGACGTAGTGCAGGTGGACCTGATGGAGGCCAACTCCGGCTACTGGACGCCGATGCACGAGTCCTGGGGATCCATCTGGAGGCTCGACTCTAACCACCGGCTGCAGGCGCCCTTCTCGCTGCGCATCACAAACGAGTCCGGCAGGACGCTGGTGGCCAATCAGGTCATCCCGGCCAACTGGGTGCCCAGCACCTACTACCGCTCCATTATCCAGTATTAATTGATTTGCTCGATCAGGACATCAACTATTCGGGGTCATTGTTTTTTGATTAATTTGGTATGTACCGTATCTATGTTATACATTATTGGATTGATGAGGTGTCTCAGTTTAATTAGTAGGTGAGATATCAGGAATCCGGCTATATATATGCCGTCTGTACGAGTTGTTAGAGTGCAGCAAGAGATTCACGAGTGGGAAACGGAGGCAAGTTTGCATGTGCTTTCCCGCCCACTGCCGATGTACCGTGTTATGTGATCAATCAAAGTTATAAAGTATGAACACTATTAACACTATTTGTGTACCACTAACTAAGGGCGATCAATGAAAAAACTACTTAGTAGTTTCTATGATGGTATGCTGTGTCATGTAGACATATACAATCTAAGAAATTACATTACAAAATAAACCTCCTCCAATCATCCTTTTCCTCTCCCTCCGCCCAATCATGTTCCTCCCCACTCTCTATTCTATCTTGGTATCTATGTGGCCCATTCTAATAAATTGCATGAAGTTTCTTGAACTTTGGTTTTGTGCAAGACATAGTTTCTTGTAGTTTGCATCTCTCTCCTCTACAATATTGTTGCTACATTATTAACAAAATGTCCTACATATGGCACTATATTAAATGGCATGAAAACTATCATAGTCATAGCTTAGGGAGTGCTCCAACGACAATGCTTGTACCGGTGTGTGATGAATGTTATAGATTGTAAACCTATTGGGTCTATGTCAACCTCGCCGCCATGATCTACCTGGTATATACCCTGACTTGGCCCACTGCCTGCCACTAGCAGGCATCGCTAGCTAATTCGATATATATGTCTGACCTCATGGCTACCATGTGTTGAGTACCAAATAGAAGGGTTACCTAAGTCCCCTTATTAGTGTTGTGATAGTGCGATTAACCCCCTAACTGATTCTCCTAATCAGCCAGGGGCTCAGGGCTACACCCGTCATGTGGGCTCGCGCGCACACTACGGACTCATGTAAAGGCCTATTGGGCCCAAGACGGCCTGCTTTGGAAGCAGGTCCTAACATACAGAACGTAGGCATGGGAGCAAGGACCAGCCCAAATCGCCCGCGCCCAGAGGCTGCTTGGCCTAGTCCAAAAGGCTCATGACCTTGGAAGGCGACAACCGACCAAGGAGGCCACAAGGGCCATCACACTACATGATCTAGCTTTAATTCCCATCCCGGCCGATGCGAGGAATCTTCCTATAGAATCTAATATATTCCATAAACCTGACACGGGATAAAGGATGTTAGAGGTAGCTCGGTATTGTCGGCCATAACCAGCAATAAGGGATGGCACCCGGCGTCACCACCAGCCGAAGACTAGGACGCAAAACCCTAGGATCTTCCCAAAAAACCATATCTCCTTGTACTCCCCTAGCCTCTAGTATATAAGGTTGGGCATTGGATCCTATAGAGGGGATCGGACCCAGATCCAGCAACTGATCAATTGACCTGAGAAACCCTACATCACTAGCTTAGCGCTCTCTTACCTCTCTCTCTCTCTCTCTCTCTATATATATATATATATATATATATATATATATATATATATATATATATATATACCATTGTAAGAACTCGATTGAACATTCTAACACGAAGAAACCACTGTTGGACATAGGGCTTAGACGCCTGAACCAGGATAGATCCTTTGTATCTTGAGTGCTAAACCACCAAAGTCACACGCATCGACCTACCATTTGGATCACTAATTACTACCACAGAATCCAACCCACGACAGTTGGTCACACCAATTACACTACTAATAAGAAGTAGCTGCACCGTTGGGGTGGGTAGTATGGGGGAAAACGAGTAGCTAGACCCTAACCTTGACTTAGGGTCTGTTTGGTTCAGTTGTGAGTTATAAAAAAAGTTGTTGTGAGCAATGAGCTTTAGAAAAGCTGATATAAACTATGTGTTATGAAAAAATTGTAAGTTTGGTTAAAACAACTATGAAATCTATCTCCTCTCTTTTTCTCATTTGAAATAGCTGTAAAACGTTTCTGTATACCTACCCAATTGAAAAAACAGAAAACCAAAAGCCTTAAGCCAAAAGTAGGGTAGAAGATGCTAAGAAAAATTATACTACGCAGAATGAAAGCAGCTTCTTGTTCTACCCATTTGGTTGGTGTTCTGCTTTTTAGCCATAAGCTGAACCAACCATATCCTTAGATAAGTCTAAGTCCTTGTTAAAAATGTGAGAACCATCTTGATTCGGATCTATTCTTCTTTTTCTTTCACCCCATGATACAATTTATGGCAAAGTTTGCCCTGCTTTTAGAAAAAAATTATCCGAATATCTTGTGTTCACAGGGATTGATTTGTTTCTTCAAGCTCTTATTTCCAACTAATCAACAAACACCTCTCTCTCTCTCTCCTTGTACCTTCCATTATTCAGTCCAAGCACAAATATTATAACGCTAATACTTGGACACGGGCGTCCGCCCCCATCCGGACGCTCTCTTCATGGGCCTGCGTAGCAGACAGCCCAACAGACATGCTCATCCCCATCGCACTCGCATCTGGCTATCGGAGCGTCACTGCACATCCACCACCGCACCACCCCTTCCCCCACCGCGCAACCGTCCCCTGCGCATGCAGTGCCCTTCCCCCTGCCGCGCCGCGCCGCGCCACCATCCTGCGCCTCGCCCCTATCCACCGACGCGCCCCCGTCCACCTCGCCCGTCGCGGCCATGGCGGGCACCATGCCACCACCACCCCAGCACTACCAGGACGAGGTCCCCGCCGGTCCGGACTTCGTCTCACACGGCAGAAAGGGGAGGTCTGCGCACGCTGGGCTGTTTGTTCTCGACGTTCCCTATGGACCTAAGCTTGCTGGTTACCGCAGTCTAGGCCATGGCTATCAGCGACACCGTGTTTGAAGCGTTTCAGACTTTTCCAACTTATGTTTCAAGTGTTTTATCTGAATGTTGCAAAGGTCAGATGTTGCATATGTTGCAATGGTAATATACGCATGTTGTAAGCATGTGTTTTAAGTGTTTCAGACATTTGTTTCAAATATTTCATCTGGATGTTTCAAAAGTTGATCTGGTGTTGTACATGTTGCAATGGCTATACTCAGCATGTTTCATATGTTTTCAGACGTATGTTGCAAATGTTTCAAAAGTAGATCTTGTGTTGTAGGCCGCTGTCTGCCTGCTGCTGCTGGTGCGTTGCCATGGTTTACGTGCCGGTGCCTGAGGCCTGCAGACACCTCCACGACGTGCATCCACAAGCAGGACAGGTGAGCGCGGGTTGCGGTTCCACCTTGCGGGCGTGGGATGTGGTTCCGCCGTCCGAACGCGGGAGCGCGGTTCTGTTGTGCGGGGCACGTGATGGGCGCGGGCCACGGTTCCGGATGTTGGCCATGGTTGGGAATGGGGCGCCATAGGGGCACAGGAGGTGCGTCTAGACGTGGACCTGGATCCAGACTTCGGGGCGCTATCCTTACCCATAATATAATGTACGAGAGGAATCTGATTCTGACTTTGTAACCAGAAGCAATAGGCATAGGCTAGTTCAGCCTATTCTACTTTGGAAAGATTTCTTAATTATTTGAGTTAGAAGATTAATAAGATTTTGGATGTTCAGGACATTCGAACTCAGTGTAAGCCACATTCCTGACTGTAAAGTGAAAAAACATTCGCAGCGACAGTTTGAGAGCTGTGAGTGGATATCAAAGCTTCCTTTCCTGATGACGCCTTTTGCTTATGCTACTCCATTCCAAGAAGATACGGCAATCCACAAAAGCAACACCATGATCATTCGTGCACCGACCAAAACATGCATTATATATAACATATCAGTAGTACTCACTCTGTCTTAAAATACAGGGTATTAAAGGTTTAAAAGTTATTCTAAATTATAAGCTATTCTAGATCACTCTCAACCTCATCCATATGTGTCTGTCTTTTAAACTAAACCCACGCATGTCTTTTAAATACCATCTTTCACAAAATGACTCCTATAATTAGTAGCTGAGATCAATGACATGCATGCATGCCTTAATATGTGTTACTAGAAAACTAAGCAAGTTGACAACCAAACTAACTAATTAGTATTTGGTAGTACTAAAATTGCTTGGATACATTGTATTTTAGAACAGGAGGGAGTATTTAACAATCGTGCGCTGTTTCAACGCGAAGGACGCTGATTCTATGACAAATACGATCGTTCATACTATATTCATGAGCGTCGGCCAGGTAGACCGTAGAAGCCTAGTATGACTTAAACTGACATCTTCCCGTAATTGCTGGCATAATATTCTCTCAGTTCAGTCACTTGCAATAACCACTACTACATAAACGTTTTGTAGGAGCGGCTGAAGACTATTTGTAGGG